ACACACGCTCCCGTGGCACGCACACGCATTTTCTCTCTTAAAAAAAAAAGTTCAGAGAGAAGACCATGTTGGGGGTGGGGTAGACTGAAAAGCTTTATAAAAGAACTGAGCCTTGATGTGTGCCTGGAAGAGTAAGAAAGATATGGAGAGAAACGGGGAGAGCATTTCTCGCTGGGAACTCTGTATTATACAAAAGTAAGTTTGCTGCATCCTAGCCTCATTCCTGTGAGAATATGACGCTGCAAGAATTGGATATGTGCTCAGAATGAGTAGTGAGCCCTGGCTTCCAGGCAACCTAGCCAGTGGTTATCTAGGTGGCTCATCTGTTTTATCTGCAGCTGTCTGGTTTCTGCTGCCAGCTCCACAAATGGTATCTCCAGTTACCAGTCTTGAAGAGGGCCCTGCAGAGTATTGTCATCATGAAACCTGTCCCAAACCAAATCTGTCTATTCTCTCAAAATTACTGCTGTTTTCTGATTATGCAAACACAGACCTTTGGCTTTTTTTCTGAGTTATCTCTGCTTTATCTGTCATTCCCCGTATGAAGCCAGTGACTGAGTCCAGTAGACTTTATTTTTAGAAGTATTTCCTCCATCCCCTCTAACCTCAGCATTCTGGTCTAGGCTTTTCTCACTTCTTACCCAATTTCCCTGTTTTTAATCTCACCCTGTTCATCTTGCATTCCGTTTTTTTTTTTTTTAAGATTTTATTTATTTATTTGACAGAGAGATAGCAAGAGCAGGAACACAAGCAGGGGGAGTGGGAGAGGGAGAAGCAGACTTCCTGCTGAGCAGGGAGCCCGATGTGGGGCTCGATCCCAGGACCCCGAGGATCACGACCCAAGCCGAAGGCAGATGCTTAACGACTGGGCCACCCAGGCGCTCCTTGCATTCCGTTTTTGAACTCATCCTTAGGCACTGTTTTTTCTTTCTGCTGCGTGAGTGGTTGAAAACTGAATAGATCTGTTTCCTGCCATGTTGTCTGAACTCCTTGTCTGGCTGTCAAGGCCCTCCTTCTTCTGTCCCTTCTCATACTGTCTGATCTTTCCCAGCACATCCCTTCTGCCATAGTGGGACCTGGCAGGCCATTTGTGGGCATGCTCATACCTGTCTCTGTGTATTCCCTGGATTTCATGACTTCCCTCTTTTCCCTGTGATCACGTCCTCCACTGTTCAGTGCTCACATTGGATCTGGCTGCCTCCATGGGACCTTCCTTGGCTATTCTGCTTCTGAATGATGACTTTTCTGTGCCTCTGTGCTCATTCAGTCAGACCGGACTGCATAGTATGGAATTCTATACTGTCACAATTGTATCTGGTTATATTTGATACATGCTAGTGTTGTCTCCCCAACTTGGGTAGAGGCCACATTTCCTTCTTCAACACCTCTCACAATGCTAAGAATAGTAGACAGTGATGAAGTGCAGATTGGCTGGTTGGGTGTTTTCTCCTTCATGTGCTAATACAAATTCAGAATTAGGACTCTTGGAACACCTTTCAGCAGCCCTTCTATGAAAGCCCCCTGTAAGACACGTATACCAAGTTATTTAGTCTCTAATTTTGGGATACTCTAACCCCTGGGGTTCCCATTTCATTTTTATTGTTAAAAATTTGATGTTTACATTGAACTGAAATCTCTCCCACTTTAACTTTCACCTACTGGTTCTAATTCTAACTCTTGATAGTGGAGTCCTCTTTCTAGGCAGTAATGATGTCTGAAGATAGTGCTCATGAAGATAGTGATTTGTTTCTGCCAGTACTTTAAGCTATTTGTTGTATGACAGAGATTCAAGTACTTTTATCATCCTGGTCATTTTTCTCTCAGCAGTGTGGGTTTGACTACGTATGTACCTCTTAAAGGTACTGAGTACAATATTCTAGGTGAGTTGGATGATCTTTACGCTCTGTAGGATATTATATTTTCATTAAAATGTACTTTGAGACTGCATTGGGTTTTTGAGAACTTGATGATTTGCATAAAGTCAACTAAAATTAGAGTTTTTTCACACATTTATCTTTTGTCTGTTTTTCTCATCGTGTACTTAACTTGTTTGGGGGTATTTGGATGTACAGAACTCTACATTTAAACTTGAGATCTCTTTATGTAAGATTTACCTCATTATTTGGATCCCAACTTGTTCTCTGACATATTAACTCTGCAGCTCAACTTTTGGTCAACCACAGATTTAATGAGCCTGCTATGTGTGGGTCCTAATCAAAGACACTGGTGAAAATATTGAACAGAGATAGATTCACAAAGCACACCATCAGAGATTTCCATTCAGGTTGACAGGGATTTTTCAATGTTGTCTCCAAGGTTATCACCATACACTGTCAAATACTTTTATGTCTTGATTTCAGAGACCATTTTCTGCCTTTCCAGTCTAGTCACTATCAGAAGAGAAAATGTGGTTAGGCTGGTGTGATTTGATCTTAGTAACCTATTTCCTTGCCAGCAGCCCATTTGATATTGTTTTTGAATCTTGTGTGGAACATGACAAACTCACATGGTCCATATACTTTGTGACATCTGTCTCTGTCCTGTATTAGAAAACTGAAGTCACATTTTCCTATTTCTGGTCTGCTGGTATTTCACCTGTTTTCCACAAATCCTTAGAGGCTTGAACTCACCATCAGATTCTCCTGGTCTTTGAAATTTTTAGACCATCCTTCTCCTAAGAGGAGAGAACATTTTGGATGGAAAACATCTCTTGAGCAGCGTTGCCTTCCATTATCAGAGGTATTTGCGTTCAGGCATTAGGAAAGGAGAAAGGGAGAGGCCACTCAAACTAAGGATTGAGATGACAAAAATGTGTTGGGGAGTATTAGTTTTCCAAATGAAATGTATATGGGGAAGGCCTCATGGTACACTGGTAGTACGTCAGACTCCAAATGAGATGCATATGAAGGGTCAGGTGATATTAGGACTACAAGGTAAAATCATTACAAGATACTTTCTCTCTGTGTTTCAGTTTCTTCATTATAAAATGGGAATAATAATGGTACTTACCTCATAGGGTTGTTTTGATAGCTAAATAAAAGAACGTGTGTAAAGTGGACCAGTGCCTCATGATAAGTGCCAGTTATTATTGTTAATTGAATGTATGCAGAAATCTCTATGGACATAAACATTTCTGAATGTTAAAGTTTTGTTCAGTTGAATTCTGGTTTACAAAGCGTTTTTTAAAAATATTCTTATTTAGTAATTACAATAGTTCTGTAAGGTGTACTATTAGTGCCTCCAGTCTTATCTGTAAAAATGAGGATAATGTCTACTCAGGACCACACAGTGAGAAGGCAGCAAGCCCTGATTCCTGGTTGCTTAAAAATGACTTACCACATCTGGGCCTGAATTTCCTCATCTGAAATATTGAGGTTTGGCTGGTCTTTGGGTCCTTTGCTGGGTCTAGAATGCTTTAGCTAGCATAATCCTGACACCTGGAGCACATAACATATTTTTTAAAATATATCTTTGGGAGCTCCACAGTTTAGAAGTGTGGTTAGTTGGGTTCTCTGGATAGCAGGCTCTGAGAGAAATTTCCTTGCAAGAAGTTAATTGGAAGGTGCTCTTAGGATCAGCCGCTCTGTGGGCGTGAAGGAGGCAGGACTGAGCAGAGGGAAGCACTAAGCTGGGGCAGGTGCAACAAAGAGCTTTGAGGCCGGGATGGGACTTGATACGCCCATATCACCCTTTCACTGGCTATGGGCTGTCCCAGGACAAAGCGGAGATTTGGGGTGAGGTGCTTCTTCTTGGCTGAGAGCAGGTCCTAGAGAGGGATGCAGTTGAAAGCTGTGGCCACCATCTCTTTGCATCTGGGAGACTGGAGTTTTCAGTCTTGGAGGCAGGATTCTAGACCACACAACCACAATGTCCACCACAGGGAGTAAATCTTACTTGCAAAGAGGAAGCATGGCTGTGGTCAATTAAAATTCAAAGAGCAGAAGAACGCATTGATGCATGAGGTAAACTTAAGATTTTGCTTTGGGGATTAACTGTTATCTTTTGCATTCTCCATAGTATTATGCAGTTGCTTGGCGCATTTCCTTCACCCAGTGGTCCTGCCTCTCCTTGTAGTCTGGTGAATGAGACCACTTTGATTAAATACTCCAGGCTGCCAACCATAAACAAGCATAGTTTCCGGTACTTTGTCTTGGATAACAGTGTCATCCTGGCAATGCTGGAGCAACCTCTTGGAAATGAACAGAGTAAGTTTCAGCACTTTGGGCCTTCTCCACTGCTAAATCAACGTGTTCATCAGTACTCGCAGGCTGTTTACAGGATCAGGGAAGGAAAAGACTGCAAATGCACACAATTTTGCATTTGTCAGAAGGTCTTCTGGCTGTGTGATAGTAGTAACTGAAAAATTAGAGGGTCAGAAAATGAATACACATATTAAATAGAATCTCTTAGAGCTCTTTGTATGTATCTGAAATACATACAAAGAAATCTCAGAAAGGAGCTCTTTAGTTCTATAAAAAGTTTACTTTAGTGGGGTATTTTCTCTTCTGTACTATGTATAAAAGTTATTACTCTTCTTGAACTTCGGATCCTGCCCTTCTCCTCCTCTGGCCCTCACTCCACATTGTTGTATTTCTGTTACCTGTGCCACCCAAACAGGCAGGAAATTTGAGGAGTCATCTTGGCCTGCTCCTTCCTGTTTCTCCCTTCCATAACTGGTATCCAAGTTTCTGCTTACCCAGTGACTCTTACATCTTTTTTTCCTCTGCATCCCTCCCAATACATCCAAATGTAGGGCCTTATTATTTCTTACTGAGATTATTGTGGTTGCTTCCTACATGGTCTGATCCCCCCTCCTCTGGTTCCATAATGTCTTATCCCTTACCCCAATCCTACTTGCTGCCACCATTATACTCTTCCTCAGGTATGGATCTGACCATGCCAGTGCCCTCCTGAAAACCCTTTAATGATTTTCCATTGACACAGCATACACTCCTTCCCTCCTCAACTTCCCTCCAATTATAAGCCATCTCAAGGTATATGATTACCACTGCACCCAGGCTACTCAGAGTGTATTTTTTTTCTGATGGCAGTTGGAATCAGCCAATATGTAAAGGAAGCATGTTCGCAGAGAGACCCTTATTTCCGGGAAAGTGAAGGTTACAGAACCTATGGGCAGAGAAGGTCCAGGGAATCACCCACTGTTCCTTCATTTACAGGTGAAGAATTGGAGGCTCAGAGAGGGTATGTGACTTGGTCAGGGTTACTCGAGAAGTACATGGTATGACTGGGACTGGTGTCCAAATTTTCTGAGCCTCATACTGTCCTTTTCTGTTGTCCCTGCCCCATAGGATTTTCTCAGTATGAAAGACTTGTTACCTTTACAAAGGTGAACAGGGTCTTACAGTCCCATGCAAATTCTGTTGAGACTGTATGAGTAGAATCTCATGAATCCATAAAACGAAAAAGAGACATTTCTCTGTAGTTCACAGATGAATGAATACCATGACAGGTTTCCATTGTGTAGTGGTAAGATACAGTGACTTTAATATAAAAGATGTGGCCTTTAATCATTGCCCAGGTCCAGAAGTGCTAGTTCCAACTCTTCCCTGCATGCGCTTCTTTCTTCTCTGTCCCAGACCTAGGGCTTGCTTCACTTTCTTCCCTGGCTTGTGCCTATTATTCATGATTCCTCCAGCCTTCTACTCCCAGGCCACCTGCTAAGGAGTCTAAAATCTCCATGTTCCCTTTGGGTTTCCTGGCCTGAGGGGCAAGTGTCAGCCCGCTTCCAGATTTTTTAGGACTTCCCTACTCTATTCCAAGTAATTTCACTGTATTGGAAGTGTACTAAAAGTATAGACAGTTGGGATTTTATAGATATACAAGGACACTTTAATAGTTGATTGTAATAGTTAATAGAAGAAGTGAGAAAGAAAAGTTTGAAAAAGTTTAACTCCCACACCAGGACAAAGGAGGGAATAAGAAGGAGGATCTGGGTCACTCAGGAAGTCCATCTTGAGTTCCTCCCTGCCTCCCCAATTCCCTGCCCCTGAACTTCCCCTGGGATGGAACAGTGACTGCCTGTGGTGGATAGCAGTACACAAGGCGTGGGGGAATGCAACAGCAGCACTGCAGACACCGGTCTGTCTTTCTGTACTAAGAATATTGGCTAGGACAGGGTTTGCCAAAAATGTGTATGTGTACCACTGGAGGCATGAGATGGTGTTAGTATATTGGTGAACATTATTTTATGTATTGTTAAACATGTATTTAAAAAATACATTATCAGAACACCAAAATTCACAGTTTTCC